CCATCCTCCACCCCTTGCCCAAGGCAATTTCACATGGACTCTGTAATTACAGTGGAGTCCTGCCAGTGAGTTCCTAGAAAGTAAAAGAGAATTTTGTTTTGTAAGTACAGTCCCCTTTTAAAACTGTAACAGTTCGGCTAGAGAAAGGGTCTTGATGACAGTAGAGGCACAAGAGTTAAAAGCCAAGATTCCCTAGAGGTAAAAACTGAATGACCTGTGTGTACACTTCTGATTTACTCTATTAGATTTACTTCAAGCAAAGCTGCACCTTTTTGACAATGGAAGGGAGTCTACACAGAGATGGCTTCAGTTTGGGACTATAAAACACTCCCAGCTGCTTGTCCACTGTTGTCCTGTGGGGACGTGAGGCAGAGTCAGCCAGGGAAGTTGGGGAAGAAGAGGGTCAAAGCTATTAGCTGGGGAACAAACTATGATGTTAACAAACAGCTGTCACTGAATGGAAATGGACATGGGCATAATTGCGAACCACATGACAAGCCTGGGAGTAACAATACTTCAAGAAGGTTTGCTTGGCCCCCATTCTTCCACCTCTTGCATTTCCATTTAAATTTTGATTGATGTTTCTGACATGTTCATCCCCAAGGAGCTTTTGTGTAGGTTCCTTTTGTTTTGGTGTGTCTGGTTTATCAGGAGATCCATCTTTTTTTTTTCGCTTTTTTAAAGATTTTTATTTATTTATTATGTATCCAACATTCTCTTCTATGTGTATCTGTACACCAGAAGAGGGCACCAGATCTCATAACGGATGGCTATAAGCCACCATGTGGTTGCTGGGAATTGAACTCAGGACCTCTGGAAGAGCAGCCGGTGCTCTTAACCTCTGAGCCATCTCTCCAGCCCCCAGGAGATCCATCTTTATGCGTCCCGGAGTGAGGTCTTGTAGCACACTAAAGTTCATTTTAAAAACATTCACTCATTAGCACCATGAAGATATTATATCAGTCACTTTTCTCATTGCTATAACCAAATACCTGACAAGAGCCACCTAGGAAGGAAGGGTTCATTTTGGCTCACAGTGGAGGGACAGTCCATTGACCATTGAGCCTATTGTGACTCAGAGCTTGAGTCACGAGTCACGTTGTGTTCAGTCAGGATAGAGAGTAACACTGTGAGTGCCAAGCTCCATTTCGTTTTTATTCAGTGTAAGACTTTTTGGTCCATGGAATGGTGCCTCCCACATTTGGGGTAGGTCTTCCCCCTCAACTAACCTAATGCAGAAGCTCACTCACTGACACGGTGCATGTGTGGGAAAAGTCAACACCAGGAGTTGATTCTTAGATACAAGCGCTGTCTTGACCGAGGAGATGAGGGCACCGAGGTGTCTCTGAAACAGCAGTGCACCATCAGCTGGGGTAAGAAAGGAGAAACTGCCCGATGGCTGCTCTTCAAGCACAAAAGGTGGCTTGTCAGTTTTGATCAAGTGACCTCAACACAAGACAGATTCCAGCAAGGAAGTGAAATAGAGGAAAGAAGCAAAGATCACACATTTTAGAGTTACCATCTGATTTTTAATAGTCTCCCTAGTATTTTTTTCCTTAGAGCTAACTAAATGCTCTCCCCCAACCCCCATCCCGCCTCTAGAGTCTTAGGTGACTAGCTATCCTGCAGTATTTGGGACTTCTGACTGTGAGCAGGCAAAAGCCGAAATAGTGGAAGGCAGATCCCATACTGCAAACCAAAACCAAAACAAAACCCAAGATGCCTCCGGGCTCCACTGGTTACTTAAGTGCTGGAGGATTGCTTCTTGAGAGTCAGGCAGAGAAGGTATCCATTGTAGGTTTAGTTCTTTTGGAATCAGGGCCATCCTAACAGCTGTTTTTCTGCAAGTAGGAGGGGAATTGGGAATGCAAGCGCAAGCCATCATCATTTTTCCAATTGCACTCCAAGTGCAATTATTGACTAATACCTAATTTTAATATTTCCCATGTGATGGTGATGGAAGTTGGCATTATAGAAAGAATGGCGGAGAAGAAGGGATAACCAGGATGGACAAAAGGGACAGCAGCACTCTCCCCACAGCCAGAAAGACACGTTGAAAGGAGAATCCACCCAAATGACAACTTCATGGACTAAGAGAGATAGATAGCTGCACCCCACCCACTGTGTTTACATATGCCATTGTTTCAGCCTGTGATGTTTTGTTTACTTCAGAAGGAAATATTTTACCCCCTCTGAGATAATTAATTTTTGTCAGCTTCACGGTTTATAAGGGAAACTGAGAAACTGTTAATTGAAATACAGAATGAGTCACTGTTTTCGGTAATTTTTGGCAGCGTTCTAATTTGTGTCAATCCCAGCCTAATTATTAGATTTTGTTGGAGACAGAAAGCATATTTGATTTTTTCTCTTATTGAACTCCCCCCCCTTTTTTCCCTTTGAAATATGTGCTCTCTGGCAAAGGTTATGTAATTTATGTCAGTGTGAGGTGAAACACAGATACATCTGAGACACCAAGAGGTTTATTGCATCATGCTTGGCTCTGCTCAGTAGCTCAGTATTTACAAACCCTGTAGATTCAGTCTTCCTGCCTTGCTCCTGCCTACTCCAAGCCCCTGTAAGAAAATGTGATACTTTAAAGACCTTTTCACTGGTGAGAAGCCGTTGTCTATGGACCATCACTAATGGTATCACGGAAGTGAATTTCCCAGAAGCCATCAGGGAGAGTTCATTTGGAAATCCAATTGAATGTCACTAGCAAAGGGCAGGCACCTAGTAGAGGTGGCCCGTCATGCATCCTTAGTTGTTGGTTGTAAAAGCATTAATCACCATGAACTCATTTACTCCTAATGCAAACACACTGCATTATTCCACAGGAATTCCCTTCCCAATGATCATTAGTGCAGACAACAGGGAGCTTCTGGTTGTGGGTGAGGTTAATAAAATCTGTCAGCTCAATGGCCAGCATAATGGACCTGTTAATGACTCCTAATAGAAACTGGGTCCTCCTTCCCACTGCTGCAGCGCAAAGACAGGAAAAGAGAGGCAGGTGTCTGTGCAGGGCAGACAGCTCTGTCCCTTAGCTCCCGTCGTGGCTTCTAGATAGAGATAGCACTGAGATCAGTCACTGAGTATGATCAGGAATCAGAGTCTGCTGTGTCTGGGAGCTTTGGTACCTGTGGTGGGCAGGGGAGGGAGTCCCCAGGATGACCCAAGATGGCTCCGCTCCCATCTGCTAGAATGCACGCTGTAGCTGTTTGCAAAGCACAGGCCAGAAGCATCCATGCTATGAATACCCCAGACCCTTCTCCACCCATAACAAGGATGGAATTCACAATAATGATAACGACAGCCATCATGGTGGGTGGTCACCAGATGCTACCAAGGACCTAGGACTAAGTTATTCTCATGAACTTACTGAAAGTGCTCACGTATCATCCACATTTGTGAGCAGGAAAGTCCAAGCCCAGAGGAAGGTATGCCCACAAACACCATGCTTCTTCATTTGAGGAATACACAAAAGCAGCAAACAGCAGTCCAACTTATGAAAAGGTATAGGGAATGAGAGAATCTGGAACTTTCTCCATGGTACCTCCATCTAGCCAGTCAGCACGTGCAGGACCAGGTTCAAGCAAAGTGCAAAAAAGTGATGCTATCCTCCATGCCTTGTGGCTAAAGCACAGGATCCCAGGCCCTTAGGATGCTCAGCTGTTCAGTGTCACCCACTTGTGACCCTGGCTGGGACACCAACCAATGATGCCCTCACCTCGGTCCTTAACATTTGCTCCTTATTACCCCAGTCTTACTTGTCACAAAACTGGTCTCCTGAAGCTCATCTTGATCTCCTCATTGGGCCCTAGCTGCAAGGGACAAAAGAAGCTCCCGACTCTTAGGGACTCCTCCTGAGCACAAGTCTTATGGGACTGACAGAGAGGCATGCCCTGAGCCAGAGACCTGAGCTCCAGCTCCATAGGCCAGGTAGGAGCACACAGACCCTCCCAAGCCCTGAGGACTCCATGATGGGTGCTGACAGCCACCCAGACTCAGCTTCAGGAGGCTTTGCATGCAAGGGGCTGCAAAGAACGGTGTAAACCAGGGTGCAAAGTGACAGAGGGCTCTGTAATGTCTTCAGTGATGAAGGGAGCATTGTGTATAGACCCCCAGGGACTGAACCAAGATCAGCTTCCAAAACTCAGAAGGGATCAGCCCTGGCAGTTTTTACCAACAACCTCGCCCCTAAAGGTGCACTTCCTTGACTGTGTTTTGTAAATGGAGTTTTAAGTATCTGAAAGATACGACAAAGCAGAAGGTTATAAAGGGGGAAAAATAGGGGGAAGAAGATGGGCTTAGGGCGTTTCAGAAGGAGCCTTAGGCACACTCCACAGCACCTACCATCCCCAGCAGGAGTGAACTCAGGGCTGACTGCAGTGGGGGAACATAGAGAATTCGGGAGGTGTTTTTCTGCCCCACCCCCCATGCTTATGGATACACAACATTAGTACGAGACTACATGGCACCGTTTATAAGAGCAGAGAACCAAGAGAAAATAGCAAGAGGGAAAATTCACAGAGAGCACCACAGAAGATTGCATTTGTTGTCAGGAGTCTAGAGGAGCTGCGCAAGCTCACAGAGGGAAAAGACGCAGTCCACTCACGGAGAGGAAGCCCGATGAGGCTTTTGGATTGAGAACAGCATGTAGAGTGCAAAAGACTCTAAGGGACACTGCCCTGTCCAAGTGGGAAAAGAAGGCATTTGTGGGTGAATACATAAGGGAAAGTGTGTGTGGGGGGTGGGGGGGGCAGCACGAAAGGCCAAAGAGGATGGTAGCACATGTCAAAGAGCCTTAGAACATGTTGGCCAACATAGCAGGTAACTGGAAGCCACAGAAGGGCCTTGGGCACCCAAGGAGAATGCCCTAACTCAAGTGTTGCAAAGGTCTGCCTGGAAGTGTACCGTGGACAGACTGGACAGGGACCAGGGGATTATGTGCACTGGCTGAAGCTGGAGAGTCCTACCTCAGTTTGTCTTACTCTCTTCTACAGCATACCTACATATTGCTCTTTGCACTGGTGGAAACCATTCTCAGACCACACCACTATCCATCGAAGAAGCTAGGACTCACCTTGCTGGGTGCTTGCAATCTTGCCTACATTACCAGGTAAGAACTGTGCAGAAAGTGGTGACTGAAACTTGCCACTGGGGACCCAAGTGACAATTCCATAAAAGTATACCATTAAATCAGTATTATTGTTGGTTTAGTTGGTGATCTAACTTATCTTTAAATTTCCAGAGGGAAAGGGTTCTTACTGTCTAATTTTAATTCTCATGAAAAGCTCATATTCAAAGGGGACACACACACACACACACACACACACACACACACAGCAAGCCACAACTTCCTTGTTCTCCCCTCAGGAAAAGCAATTATTGCCAAGCACACAATCATGCATTTCTAAGAATATATTGATTTCAGTTTCATTTGCAATTACAATATTTGAATGAATGAATGGTCCAAGGCATCCCTATGTACTCCATATAAAAAGGCATTTGACAGGTGGAGCCAAATGCTACTGCCTGCATCATCTTAGGCCTTAGGCATGAGCACCTAGAGGACACTTGCCAGAGACCTGAAGAACATGGGAAGTGAATCAAGTAACTGGCCTTGATTTGATCATTCAATCGCCTGATGAGCCTCACTCTTTGTAATGCTGCCCAATGGTCTGCCATCAATACATGCATGTGTCCTTCTGTCTGGAACTTGAGGATGCCCAGGTCCCTTCCACAGCTTCTTTTCTTTTCTTCTCTTTATTTGCTTATTTGTTTATTCTGAGACAACATCTTATGTCGCTCACGGTGGCCTCTGTGTGGCTGAGAATAACCCCATAATCTTGACTTTTGGTCTTCCTGTCTCTATTTTCTGTGTGATGGAATTACAGCAGTGCATCACTCACTATCTTAGTTAGGGTTTCTATTGCTGTGAAGAGATACCATGACCATGGCAGCACTTATAAGGAAAACATTTAATTAAGGCTGGCTTACAGGTTCTGAGATTTAGTTCATTATCATCATGGCAGGAAGCATGGCAGCACCCAGGCACACATGGTGCTGGAGAAGGAGCTGAGAGTTCTGCATCCGGGTTGTCAGGAAGCAGGAAGAGAGCGACATTGGGCCTGGCTTGAGCATCTGAACCCTCAAAACCCACCCCTAGTGACTTTCTTCAACAAGGCCATAACTACTCCAACAAAACCACATCTCCTAATAGTGCCACCCCTAGGAGCCTATGGTGGCCATTTTCATTCAAACCACCACAATTACCTTGCCCAACTTTATGGTGCTGGGACTGGACTGAGGGTGTCATGCATAGTTGGCGAACACTCTACCAATGAGCTATACCTCCAGCCCTACTTTCCACACTCTTCTCATATGACACCATTTCATGCCTGAAAGGGCCATACCATCCATGCACAGGCCCGGAATACTGAACACATGGCAGTCGGGATCATCCCCCAGTCTCTATATGGGAAGCCACTTAGTACAGTGCTCTGTTAGTCATGAGAGCAGAGCACAGGATGATATTTCAAAGGACATGAGGAGGCATGGTAGTTTGAATGTGATTAACCGCCATAAGCTGTCAGGGAATGGCACTTCTGGGAGGTGCTTTGTTGGAGGAAGTGTATTGCTGTGGAGGTGAGCTTTGAGGTCTTGTAGATGCTCACACCGTGCCCAGTATCATAGTTCACTTCTTGCAAGATGTAGAACTCTCAACTCTTTCTCCAGCACCATGTCTGTTGGCATGCCACCATATCCTGCCACAATGATAATGAGCTAAACCTCGGAAACCGTAAGCCACCCAATGAAATGTTTTCCTTCATAAGACTTGCTGTGGTCATGGTGTCTCTTCACGACAATAGAAACTCTGACCAAGACTGGAGATGACACCCCAGATCCCTTAGCATCGAATTTTCATGGAAGTTACCAGCTTGGTATCCAGAACACCACAACCTTTCTTTCCTTCCCATAATCTTATATCTCCCCACCCTTCCTCACCCCCCCCCCAGAGGGCTAAGGGCTTTCTTGCGTTTCTCTTGAAGAAAGTTCTTGAATAATATCATTTCTCTGAGGATTAAGTGTTCTGTGCTTTTCTCCACATTTTGAGGTCTTTGAAGTTTAACAAAGGGACACCCTAAGAAAACAAAGCTCTAGCTGGGGACCACTTGTAGTTGACACCAGAATCATTGTGCTAAGAAGGATGCTGAAGCCATATTGTATGATTTAGATCCTGAGGACACAAAGTGATATAAGAAGCCTGTAGCTCTTGGAGACTGTCTGGGAACGAGAAGGAAGACACAGTAATGAAACTGGTGGTGAGGAGACCAGGGTGCTGCGGCCAATGGTCAGAGCTGGCTTCTAAAGGGAAGAATCATTTCAGCTGAGATCTAGAGAAAGAGTAAGAACTCAGAAGAAGCAGAAGAAAATAGTAGTCAGGCTGAAGGAATACCGCTATGAAACGCCAAAGAAGGCAAGCGCACAGCTGATTGGAGGACAGAAAAAGGTTAGGTCATGGATACATTTCACTGACCTGGCATTTACAAACAGAGTGCTTTCTTGGTTTAAAAGAGATTTAAACAGGGTCACAGAGTCTACTGGTAAGTACTGTGAGTTAAGTACAAAGGTAGGTAAGGAGGTCATGGCTGAAGTGTGGAAAGGGACCTGAGGAAGAAGAGAGGTAGAAACTCAGGAGCGTCAATGTCAGTCAAATGCTCACAAACCATAATTAATCCCAGAGCATGAATGGAGGGTGGTAACTTAGTTATAAGCGGCCTCTCAACACTAGGGTTCCAATGGCTTAGATGGCATGCTCAAGGTCATGAGGTCATAAGGCAGACGGGTCTAATGGGGGAAGGAACAAGTATAAGCATAAAGTCTTACAAAAGATTTGAAAGTGCTGAGACGAAAGTGAGCTTCATGCCCACCTACCCACCCAGCCTCCTGTATGGTAGGTTTTATACACACTGGGAGTTGAGCAGGCTCTTGGCAGAATGTACTCTGTGGATAAAGAACTAGGATTGTAGCGGGGCATTGGTGGCGCACGCCTTTAATCCCAGCACTCAAGAGGCAGAGGCAGGCGGATCTCTGTGAGTTCGAGGCCAGCCTGGTCTCCAGAGCGAGTGCCAGGGTAGGCTCCAAAGCTACACCGAGAAACCCTGTCTCGAAAAACAAAACAATAAAAAACAAAACAAAACAAAAGAACTAGTTTTGCAAACAAGAGACCCCCAGTTTAAGGTGGCTTTAGACCCAGCTTTGTACCACAATAAATGGAATACAAATATACCTGAGGGCATTTTGTTGTCATTGTCCCAGAGTAAACACTTCCATAGTTTAATCCAGTCCCCAGTCCGGAAGACATGAGACTCTTTGCTGCCTGCTAGCCCTGTCCCATTAAACAAAACGCACCTTCAGACCCTCATGAGCACATGTGGCCACACCAAGTTCCATGGTGGTAGACACCCATGGAGAAGTGCTATAGGTGAGCACTTAGGGTGTGACAATTGAGATGATCAAAAGGGGGGATAGCATAGCAAGACTGAGGTCCCTAACATGGGCAGGGCCACAGGGAGCATAACAAACAAACATGAGTCTGCAAAGAGCTGCTATCTGCACCAGAGACATCATTCTGATAAAAACCATAGTACAATGGCCTAAAAATAGCCGTGTGGATCCCCTGAGGACTGCCTCCCCTGAGCTGTTCACTTTCTGTTACTTTTCAGGCTGGGAAATTGGAGCTTTGGCCCTGCAGAGGGAAAACAAAGCCCTGCAGAGGAGTAATGACTAAAAACCTTTCATTTCCTTTGGAAAGCTTTAGTCACCTATAAATCTGGTGTCTTGCTTATGCCTCCCTGCTCGCTCAGGCCCAAAACACATCGCCTCACTCTTTCTGAGGCAGTGGTGATGGGTGGAGAAAGGAATGTTCCTGCTGCTGTCCTTATTCCTTTTTAAAAAGGGGATTTGAACACATATTTCCCCTAATACAGAGCTGCCCGTGCTAGGAAAGGCGAGGTCATATGAGGCCAGGCTTCAGCCTGCAGGGGACTGATACTTAATAAGTGGAAATGAGCCATGCATACAAACTACAGGAGCCTGGGCTGGAACGTGGTAAAATGTAATAAAAGCACAAGGAGCTGCAAGAACACAGAGAAGGGAGGAGGGGTAGGGAAGGCTGCATAGGGGATCTGAGACCCCAAAGACCACACAGGGTTAGGACTGCAACAAGCTGTTCCCCCTGCATGACAGTCAGCAAGAGGAGGGCCATAAATTCTTGTGAGTCAGCTGAATTTCTCCTTTATGTACAGTGCAGGATCCCAGACTAGTAAATGGTACCACTCTTAGGGCGGCCTCTCGACCTCAGGCAACCTAATCAAGATGCTCCCTCATAGCCACGCCCCAAAGGCTAACCAAATCAGAATAGTCCATCACATGTGTCCAGGGGCTTGTCTCCTGCATGACTCAAACAGTTCCTGTAAGGTTAGCAGTCAACATTAACTACCACACTCCTCAAGAATAACAATATTTAAGCCCATTCCTCACTTAGGCACACAACTATAAATTGTATTCCAAAACTATATTACAAGTTGCTAAGGGCCGAGCCAAGCTGAGTCCAGATCAGCTGGCCAAACTTAGAATCCTCTCCTTTTCCAACTATTGCATCATGGTGAAATCTTTCCAAGAGCCACTGTTTGCTATTTCTGAAATGCAACCTTCATCTAGAATCATCATAGTCAAACATGGTTTTATAGCGCTCACCTAAATTGTTCTAGTATTAATAAAAATTAGAGAGTCAGAAATTGAGTTTGAAAACCTGGTAAGTCCAGGGGGCAATGGAGGAACCATCAGGTGACGTAACTATCCTCACTCCCTTCCCATCCAAAAAGCCCCCGAAATCCCCTCAGCGCCTCCTCTCTTCCTGTCCCTCTCTATCCAAGTTCCTCAGTCCTCTAGCCTCTCTATGGCTAATTCCAATCAGCCAACTGCTGACTCCATCCTCGACTCAAGGTGGCTTTATTGGCACTGAGGAGTGACAGTGTGAACAATTCACCCACAACATAGTTTTTAAACTCAAATCTTAGCAAGGGTTAGAATCCCAGTCCCATTTTCCACAGTGATACTCAACCAGCTATCATGCTGATGTATGAAAATAACTATCAGAATATCACACAATGCATTCCTATTATCAGCATTTGTGTGTGGGGGCTCTGGGGAACAAATTAAAAACTAACTGCAATGCTTGTAACAGAAACTAGCAATAACAACAGCATACAGAAGGTCCCAGATTCCTTTGAAATGAAGAATTTACCAGAAATATTGTTGAAGGAGTGGAATAGGCTTATGAATTGATAATGAATAAAACAGGTTTATGAATTGATTGGCATGTAATGGGTGAATGCAAAGGACACGTTAAGAATATGTTTTAAGAATTTTCAGATAGTGGCCAGGAAAGACCGTGGTTTCACCAATAGAGATGAGGATGAATTGTGAAAGAAATAGTTAGGAATATATTTTTTTTTAATAGCCAGTTGAAAGTCCCATATTCAGGTTCTATTAAAATCTTATGCTTGGCTGGTTTGTGGTGGGGCACGCCTTTAGTCCCAGCACTCAGGAGGCAGAGGCAGGTGATCTCTTGAGTTCAAGACCAGCCTAGTCCACAAAGTGAGTTCCATGATGGAGAAGTCTGTCCAGAGAGACACTGTCTCAAACACCTCTCCCCACAAAAAAATCTAATGCTCATTCTATTTGTTTAGGATACATACACGGTGTTAAGAAAGTAACACACACACACACACACACACACACACACACACACACGCACGCACGCACGCACGCACACACACACACACCACAGCAGTTTCTCTCTACAGAAAAGATTGAGAGTCACCCACCAAGAGGAATCCCATCGAATGCTTTCTAAAGGGAAATGGGTTCAGGGAGATACCCGTAGTTGACCCCTCGGGTGGGATGAGATTTCTGGAGTCACAGGAAAAGAATCAGGAACAAACTGCTGAGGGCAATTCTCTTGTCTTTGCGATAGATGGGGCAGGAGGGCAGCTGAGGTATGGACATTTGAGATCAGGCAGACAGGAGTCCCCATGGTCTTTAACAGGGAGGAAGCCTCACACCCAAAGATGATGTATCAGGCAGGTGAGGATGAGTTTCTAAGCTCAGTCCATGCAGGAGATGGAGATGAGATGCAGGCAAGGTATACTGTCACCACCCCCCTCACTACTTCCCTTTCCTGCCCCTCCTCCTCCCTCCTTTTCTTTCTATATTCAAGCAAGCCACAGAGAAATGATTCCAGCTGCCACAGGGACTCTCTTCACTCACCGCCTGCTGAATATCCTTTAACAACTATGCAAGCTTACCTCTGTCTCCACTTTCTTCTACTTTCCCTACTGCCACCTAATAGCTATCACTCCTCTGGCACGTTCTCTGTGAAAACGCACCATTGGTTTACCAACCTTGGAATCTTGTCTTCATGATGAAAGGAAACAAAAGTTAACAGAAACTTTCCATGTCCCTAGGGGAAATGTCCTTGTTTGTGAACTACCTTACATAAAAGGACATGGCAGTTAGGCAGCCCTAGTTTCATGTATCTAGAGTAAGCCATGCGAACTAATTAATACAATCTGTTAGAGTGTGCTCCGGGATCCATTCCTATCTGCTTGAGACATTTGTTTTCTGTCCCTTGTTCCTGCTCTGTTCTAAGAAACAACCATGCAGGCAAGAAGCACCATGAAAAGCATTCTGCAATGCTTCTCTGCCATGCACATCTTAATCCTAGTATTTGCTACAAAGAATGGTATCATTCAGTTATAATTATCACATCATCCATGTAACGGGGAGCAGCTGAATGATTTGGGAGAATAAAGATCCCAGCAGGATAGGACCAGGGACGAAACATCTAACTTGGTCACACACTTGCATGACCCCAAGACTGATGCTATCTGTCCTAGGATTTCTCTTGCTTTAATAAAACACTATGGCCAAAGCAAGGGTGGGGAAAGGGTTTATTTCAGCCTACAATTCCTAGGTCACACTCTGTCACTGAGGGAAATCAAGGCAGGAAGTCAAGCAGGGCAGGAACCTGAAGGTGGAGCGTGAAGCAGAAGCCATGGGGAATGCTACTGAAATTGCTCACTGTTTTTCTCAGCCTGCTTCTTATAGAACCCAGGGTCACTCGAAATGAGCTAGGCTTGACTGCATCAATTGGTCAAGAAATGGACTACAGGCTTGCCTACAGCCCAATTTAGGCGGGGGATTGTCTCTATTGAGGTTCCCTCTTCAAAATGACTCTAGCTTGTGTCAGGTTCAAATGAAACTAGCTAGCATAGCACCCTAAACTGATTTTAATTGTAACAAAGGGAACATAGCATAAAATCAACCATTTTACCCATTTGAAGTGTGTGCTTCAGTGGCATTAAGTACATTCACATTACACAGCTAATATCAGCAACCCCCATCCACAACTCTGAACCCACTAAACAACCCCCTCCCATCCCTTCTCTGCCCACCCCTCACACTTAGTGTCAGCCTTTCTGTCTCTGTGAATCTGACGCCTCCTCCTACAAATGGAATCACGTGAGTCTTTTTCTCACCATATCACCTTCAAGGTTCACACCTATGTTGTAACCTATGTTCAAATGCTTTTCTTTTTTTACATCATGCTTTACTCCTCCATTCATCCATCAATGGCCTCCTGGGCTGTTTCCACCTTTGGCTGTAGACTCTAATGCACAGATATCTTTGGGTCTCTGATTTCAAGTATATTACCGAGTGGTAATGAGTATATAAGGCAGATGATAGCTGTCTTAACGCTCCGAAGGACCTCCTTACACTTTCCCTATTCCCTGGCATAGAAGGAATCCAATTTCTCCATAGCCTCACAAACAACGTAGGTTCTGTGGTTTAATTTGTTTGGGGTTTAGTTTTAATAGTAGCCATTCTGTGTAAATGATGTGACGGCTCGTGGCTTTGAACTGCATTCTCCAGATGTTAGTGACATCTGACATCTTCCTTGTTTATATTTTATGTGGAATGTCTATCTAAGTCACCTGTCTGCTTCTAATTGGATTGTTTTTGAATTAGGCAAATTATTTATATATCCTACATGTTAGAATATATATATATATATATATATGTATATATATATGCATATATATATGCATATATAATAGGATTTGCACATATCTTTCTGTATCCCATACACAGCCCATCTACACTGGTGACAGTTGTTTTTGACTAAATCTTAATCATTTTACCAATAAAGACTCAGAGTCAGAGAAAGCAGCCAGCTGACCTTCCTCCTCCACTGATGTCCCAGGAAGAGCTTTCTCCTACACCAGCTCAATCAAAACTCCTTAAACTGAATGTCCATTCCTTCTACTTCCTGTGCATCTCTGTCCATCCTCCTGACTCTCTATGGTTTCTTTGTGTCAACTGACTGCTTGCTCTGTTTCTTGACCTATGGTTGACTTTATTTCATCCTGTTTACAATATTCAAGCCGAAAGCTCTTGAATTAAAGGTGTGTGCTAGGGCTGAGCCACACCATGACTAAGAACAGGTTTTTCCAGTAAATAGCACAATCTTGGGGTTCACAGTGTGATCAAATATCTTGCAACAGTTGACAGTATCCTTTGATGATAGAGATGAACCTATGAATTCCACACCCCAGATCCCCTTTGCCCTACCCTGGTTCTGATCCCAAATAATATCCCTTGTTCACAAAACGCACACCAAACTGAATGTATTTGAAACAACAGAGAGTACATTGAGGGTTTTGAAGGCTTAACTAAGCACAAAGCTTAATTTTTCCGAACTCTTCTGTTTCTCAGGCCTGGCCTATCTTTCCTCTTACAAGAGAACAGCGCTGTGCTGTCCATGGCTGCTTAGGAACTCCTGTCAAACTCTCACATGCCAGGCACTACCTTATGTATTACACATGAAATACATAGGTCGCAAACAGGTGTTTCATTCCGGTCATTCTTGCAGCCTCCTGCTGAGGTGTATACTGCCTGGATCCCAGGTCTACACCAGCAGAGTTAATAAATTGTTGGAGGTAATGTAGCTAATAGGTGGCAGACTGAACATTTCAGTCACAGAATCCTCTTCCAGATTCTATACACTTAACAATTGTAAGCTGCAGCTGAGGCGACATCATCCCTTAACACATATTTTGTGTCTTAAGTTATTTTAGACTTTGGCATCTTCAGTGCAGTTGGCTCCCAGCATTTTTAGTCTTCACTGAGACATCATGGCTTCTCTCCCAGCATTTCTTTTCTTTCCTTTGGCTCACAGAAACCACTTATATTCTATCCTCACATGAGTAAATTCTGAGCCTCCCTACCAACTCATCCATCCCTACCTAGTGCTGGATCCCTAAGGATTCCTGTGAGCTAAAGTCAGGGATAACATATAATCTCCAGGCATCCTGTTTTAGAGCGATGATGCACCAGCGCTACCCAGCCTGTGTCAACAAGACTTGGAGAGCTAAGAGAAGCTGCACAGTCCTCTTAGGTACCAAAATCAGCAGCAGCATATATCAATCCTTCAGCTGCCGGCAACAAAACTGACACCATCTTTACAGGTCTAATTCTCAGTCAGCTGTCCATCTCAAGGAAAGCAAATGAAGTCACGTGCTCACATACCCTCCTTTGCTGATGATCTGTTATAAGCTGTTATATCCTTCTATCCTTTCACCAAGACGAATCACAAAGTATTAGATAAGGGAAAGGTTGACTCATTCCATGAAAAAAAAATGTTTTATTAAAACATGTAAAAGCACTAAGAGATGACCGACTCCTTCTATATAGATCTTCCGGAATACTTTGGGTGCTGACAAACATTTGCCAGGCTGGTTTTCACCTGCTGTCTTCTAGTGTCCCACTGAACCTGAGGTGCAAATAACTTGCTGGCCTCTGTGATCCTGATCATTTTGACTTCTTGTTCATGCAGGGTCCTGTGGCGCTACTTTCAGACCGGAAACTGGGTGTACCCTGTGTTTGCCTCCCTCAACCCACTGGGTATTGTCATCTTCTTCTCAGTCACTTATATCTTGAGTGCCATCATCTACCTGCTTGGAGAGAAGATTAATCACTGGAAATGGGGTCAGTGCTTTCCTCTCATCTACAGTCCCCACAGACACTTCTTTCTTATCCATGCTCTACCCTCTACCCAAACCAAAGGAAAACTTAATCCAAACCAGAAGACCACACTGCTAGGTGCCTTTGTTCACAGAGTTCAGTGGGTCCTATGAACGCTAGAAGAAAAAAAGCCTTGTGCAAGTTGGCATTCCCTTGGAGACTCCATGTGTCTCCTTCTTCCATCAAATAATATCTTGTTTAACTCAAAGACCGACTCTTCTTTCGAAACTTTAGGACCCAAAGAACAAGGAGTTATCACCCCAGCCATGAGGGGGAAAATCCTATAAGGGTCTTCATTCACCCCAGTGAGGGCCTGAAGGACACGAACTCTTAAATGTGAGCTTCTTTTGTCCTAGAAAAATGTGACTCTCACTTTAAACTGTAAGAGATAGCTTATTGTGAGCCAAATGTGAGTGAGCATGGCCCGGTAAATGAGGATTCGGGTTGGCCTGAATGACATTCTACTCCTTCACTGAAGAAGGCACATGAACTTAAGCAGTCCCAAAACAAAGGACAGTCACAAAAGAATGCATTAAACCAAACATGGCACATTGATGGGGACAGCAGGTAAGTGGGTCTGTGGACTTCAGCAACATGGGGAAAACTCTGCTATAGGTTTCACATATTATCTGGTGACTGTTAGTTTGGGGGAGAGTGGAAGTCAGTAGTCTGTCAAGTTAATTCATTCCAAAGGTTTTATGTGACAGTCAAAAGAGATGGTAGGCCAGATGTAGAGATAAGCAACAAATAGCTATTGAAGGGAGTAAAGATATCTCAGGATAATTTTGTTACAACATTCCTGGAATTTGTGGGTGATGTTTTTTGCTTTAATTCTACAAGGAGACATGTAGAAATTCACCTTGGTTTGTATATAACAAAGTGAAAAAAAAAAATCCCCTGTAGTCACCACCCCCAACCCATTCAGCTACCAGCAGTTCTGGTCCATCAAACAGAAATGGCATCGCCCACCCCTTCTCTGAGTTTGTGGATGCAAAGAGCAGGCAGTTCCCAAGGGGCTAGAGTGAGCCACTTCTGGTCACAGGCTGAGGCCTCAGAGAAAGAGATATTCAACTTGGATTTGTTGCATTTGCTTCTCTTGGAAGATTTAGTTTATGTTCTTTTAAATAATTTATTGATTTATTTTACATTTTGATAGAAGTTTCCCCTTCCTCCTCTCCTCTCATTCCCTCCGCTACCTTCTCTCTGCCCCAACCCAATCCACTCCTCCTCCATTTCTGATCGGAAAGCGACTAAATGGGGTGTTTGCTATGAAAGTAAACATTCAAAGTGAGATGCTACAAACAAGCAAACAAAGCCAACTCAAATGCAAAAATAAAAACAAAATCCTCAAACAAGTATTTCAAACCCAGAGTTCTAGTTTGCAGGGAAATCACTGGGGGTAGTGATTGGGATTTCAAATGTACAGGCATCTAATTCCAGGAATTTGGTGGTACTTGAATTTCTGGGTAAAGATTTCTGACGACTTTCAAAGAGCTTTAATTGTAAAAAAGAAAACAGGAGGGAGGAAGTGAGGGAGAGAGGGCTAATCCATTTGGAATCGGAAGGAAAGAAATGCAGATAGAGAAAGCCCAGTTACTAAGAACAGTGGGGTTTTAGTCATTTGTATTGAGTGTTAAGATGATTAATGCTTTGAATTATTTCTTTATAAGAGTGTTTGCTAAACATATTAAAACATAAACCATCACCCTGATTTCTAGGGGCTCCCAACACCCTCTGGCCTCTGAGAGCATTCGCACACACATGGTGTATATAAAGTTACACACACACACACACACACACACACACACACACACACACAAAAATAAATACATTTTTTGTTGTTGGTGGTGGTTTTGTTTGTTTTGTTTTGTTTTGTTTTGCTTTGCTTTTTTTTTCCAACTTTTTTTTGTTTGAATTAGAAACAGAATTGTTTTACATGACAATCCCATTTCCCTTCTCCCACCAGTCCTCCCCTACCCGTCCCTTGCTTGTTTTTTGAGACAGGGTTTCTCTGTGGCTTTGGAGGCTGTCCTAGAACTAGCTCTTGTAGGCCAGGCTGGTCTCGAACTTACAGAGATCCACCTGCCTCTGCCTCCCAAGTGTTGGGATTAAAGGCATGCACCACCAACGCCCAGCTTGTTGGTTTTTTTTAGAGACAGGTTTTTTTTGTTGTGTAGCCTTGCCTGTCCCAGAACTAGCTGTTTAGACCAGTCTGGCCTAAAACTCACAGAGATCTGCCTGCCTCTGCCTCCCGAGTGCTGGGATAACCAATGTATTTTTCTAAAGTAAAATCTCACTGTGTCTGTTATCCTTCAAATCCCCATAGCAGCAAGCTCCTAATGCACCCCACTGCTGAGCATCGTGTTCAGTTTTGCTTATAGCAAACATCACTTACCAAGAACAGTCACGTGATGCCCAAGATGGAGATGAGTGCGGACGATGCTGTGCCTCTCCTCTAGCTCTGTGTCCATAAGAAATAAACAAAAGCAAAAGAAAACAGATGAAAAGTCTTGCACTGCCTCAGAATAGAATAAGAGTTACATCCTTTGTATCATTCATTGCAGAGAACCAAATGATTAAGGAGAAAATGCAGGGAGGGTGAGCCACACACCCTAATGCCCCTGTCTGAGAGGCTAAGGTGGGAAGATCACTCACAAGTTCAAGGGCCAATCTAAGCTGCTGTCTCAAAGAGGAGGAAAGCATTAGAAGAGAACATAGATCTGTCAAAATTCATTGGCAGCTAATACTTTTAAATGACTAAAATGAGACAGAACTGTCCCTGTGAACCTACACCCTTCCTCTCCACTAACAATATTTTAGTCTTCCCCTGGCTTACAGAAGAAAGCCCCAGTCCTCAAAACATACTCCATGACTCAGTTCCTATCTTGGTGCTTTCTCTCCTTTTCTAAGGTTCCTTTCTTTCCCTTCCTCCACTCTCTGGCCCTCCTGGGTCTATGCCCCCACCCTATTCCCAGACTTTGCCTGGATCATATGCACTCATTTATTTCAACTTGCCTTCTCTAGGATGCCTGCCCTGATCTGCCCAGGTTGGAGCCAATGTCCTTTCCAGTTGTCCTGTGGCTCTTCCTGTAGGTTTTAAACACCAGACCTATCACTTTAGCATGACTGCTCTTGCTATGGCTTTAGGGCTTTGTCTTAGCAGGAGGCCTTGAGCTTCTTGAAGGTTAAGATGCCTTAGCCATATTTGAATCTCTATTTTTGCTACCTTTCCCAATGACTCCATCAGAGCAGATAGTTCAAAGGCGGGCAGGGAGCTTTTCTCTCTAGGTAGGAGGAAAGAATTCTTACAAAGGTTTTCTGGAAATAGCAGTCAAGAGGGAACCTCTAATGGTCATAGATTAGGACATTGGGCCTAGGCAGGTGGAGATGTGGTATGCCCACTGAAGAGCTGTTGAAGAAAGAGGTGCATGTCAAAGCAGGCAATATAAAGCCGCTGAGACCACTGAAATAACCGTCTGCATTGTGCTTCTCCAAGGGACTCCACTGAAACCAGAAAATGGTCTTTACATTTTCAATACATCTCAGATGAATGAGGCTATAGATATACAACCGTCAATATTTAGGAACCCGTTTAAAAAAAATTTTGTCTTGTGTTCTGACTACTGGAGTCATGGAGGAGGAAGAAAAGACAAGAGAGGTCAGGGGTGGCTCTAACTCTCTGGCTGTCAACTAGCAGCCTTTCCACTGTGAAACATTCCCTGCAATCAAAAAGTACTCTAGTAAACTACATTATTTCCCGTTCAGAGTTTGAAATCCACTTTGTAAATGTCATTTACAGAAGATAGATGGCCTATTAATAAGTTGGCAGTTTCCATGCAATACAGAAACATGGTGAGAGATAAATTTTGAAGACACAAGGGAACCTGCAAATTGCTCGGCTCTGAGAGAATGAGAAACTAAAGCATCCATCTCATGCCTCTGTGTGCTAGAAACAAAAAGAAAAACACTATTTCTGAGGAATTCAAAACACGTAAACAGAATAAAGTGACTCTAATCTCCACACATAGAATTGTGTGAAAAGGTGTCTTCTCCATGTTGGTGAGTATATTAGTCAGCCTTTTATTGCTGCAATAAAGCACCTAAGACAGCTAATGTTAAGAAGCAGAAAGTTCTATATGTACCTCACAGTTTTGGAGTGAATTCTATTGATTTGGCTTCAGGTAAAGGTAGCATCTAGGCTACAGATCATAGACAGTGTTTTTTTTTTGTTTGTTTGTTTGTTTTTTTAAATCAAGCAAGTTGATACATCTCACACTCTAAAGAGAGTAATCAATGGGTAAAAACCAGGGCAACTACCAGTCCTATAAGGATTTCTCCATAATCCCAACAACCTAAAGATCTTCCACTATGCTCTACCTCCCAAAAGTTCCATAACCTCCCAACAGGACCACCCTGAGGCCAAGACTTTAATCCCAGTGGATGCTTGGAGCTAACTCAGATCACCACCCATGCCAGCTCAGTGGGTGTGTGAGCATTTCCTAGCATTCCACCTAGCTACTTGAGTTTGGATGGAGGAGACTCTCTCCTCTCCCAACAAAGCTTAAGCCATCGTCTCTGCTTCTTTCTGTGTCTTTGTATTCTGTGCTGGGCCGGAGGAGAGAGGCTATGATTACAGTCAGATGCAAGAGGTGAGGCTTGGAAAACACATGGGTAGAGAGGATGCTAGGAACCCTGGGAGTAAGTGCAGAGTAAACATATTTGATAAGTGCATATTGATCAAGCCTTTGAGTGTGAAGGAAGCAACTTGCTATTTAGTCAATAGATGATACTTAAAGAGCTAAAGTACACACTGTAGCAAAGAGAAGGAGCTGTGATTGAACTTAGAGCATAGAGAAGACTTACTGGGACAGGTGTGGTCATTTACACCTTTAATGCCAAAAGTGGGGCATAAATAAGCAGGTGTCTGTAAGTTCAAGGCCAGCAGGGTCTACAGGGTGATTCTAGACCTGCCAAGGCTATATAAGGCTACATTGTGAGACCCTATCTCAAAGAGAGAGACAGAGACAGAGACAGAGACAGAGACAGAAGATGAGAGAGAGGAAAGAAAGAGAGAAAAAAAGATATAAGGAAAGAAAGAGAAAGGAAAGAAAGAAAGAAAGAAAGAAAGAAAGAAAGAAAGAAAGAGGAAAGAAGAAGGGAAGGAACCTGAGAAGACTTATTGGGAGTTGGAATGACTCACATACAAATGAAAAAGGATAGAAGAATTAATGAATGTAATATGATGTCTGCAGGGCTCAGTAGATAGCAAAGCTTTACTGAAGTGATGGCAGCAATCTGAGCCTCCCAGAGGGCTAAATGCAAGGATGGTCAAAAGGATCTTGGGATCAGCAGAGGGTATTTTAAAAGAAATCAAGGTGACTGAAAAGTCACAAGCAGAACTTTAAGATACCAGTCCCAGCCCTGGAGAGATGATTCAGTGGTTAAGAACAATGACTGATCTTCCAGAGGACCTAGGTTTAATTCCCAGCACCCTCTTCTGGCTTCTGAGGGCACTGTACATATTTGGTACACAGATATGCATTCAGGCAACCATATAAAATAAGAATAAATAAAATCTAAAAAAAAAAAAATCCCAAAACAAAAAGTTACACAACCTCTGAAGACTAGCAAATAGAAGATTTGTAATATATACTGTTTTTCATGTATTTGTTTGATTGTACTTTTTTCAGTGTTGTAATTGAACCCAGGGATTTGCACACCCTACCTCTGAACTATATTCTCAGCTATAAGGTGGATTTTTTCAAAGTAGAAGTGTTGTGTGGCAGTCCGAAGCATGAATACAGCCTGGGATTCTTTATGTGTTGTTTGCTTTGACATTAGCATACAATACACTATGTGCCACTGTGGAATTTTTGTACATTTCTTGTTGTTGATCTCATCCCACCCCTGCCATTTCTTTCCCACCCTTCTGTCACCCCAGCTGTGTCCTTCCAGTGGTAGCATTCCACTTTGCACTTCCATGTCACATGAATTCTCTTACCCTCTTCTCTCTTAAAACCAACTCCATTGTCCCTCTCTTGGTCCCTTTTCTGACTTCGAGACCTACACCTTCACTCAACAACCTACTTATACACACAGGTAAAATTAGAAGCTGGGATCTACGTAGGAAAACTTGTGTTTGTCTTTCTGAGTGTGAGTCACTAAATAGAATAATTTCCAGATCCTATTTCCTGGCAAATGTCTTTCTTTTTCTTCTTTCTTTCTTTCTTTCTTTCTTTCATCCTTTCTTTTTTCCTGTGGATGAACATCTAAATGCCCCTGTTTTCTAACTTGTGATTAGAACAGCAATTAACACGGATGAACAAGTATTTCTATGATAGAATACAGTCTTTTTTGTGTATGCCCAAAAATGGTAGAGGTGTGCCAGGTGGTAGTTATATTTTTAAAATTGTTTGGTTGTTGTTGAGAAACCACCATACTGACTTCATCTTGGTGACACCACTTCATACTTCCATTAGAAATGAACAAGGGCCCCTCTTTCTACACATCCTCAACAGAATTTTCTGTCATTTGTTTCCTTGGTCATAGCTATTTCAACTGGGGTGAAATGGAATTTTACTTTTATTTTGCCTTTCCTTGATGGCTAAGGATGTTGAGCATTTTAAAAAAATATTTATTGATTGTGTTTCTTCTTTTGAGAACCATCTGTTTGGTACTTGTGGGGTTAATTTTCTGAGTTCTTTATGTATTCGAGATACCAATCCCCAACTGACGCATGACTGGCCATGTTTCTCTCCTGTTCAGTAGGCTGTCTGTTCACTCTCTTGCTCCCTGCTGCTGTGCAGCTTTCAGCCTGGAATCTGGAGTGTGAAACCACTGTGAGCATGAAAACACTGCAGTAATACCAGACCAGAGAGACCACAGCTCTGATTCCCACAAAGAGGACGAGACTGAGCTGAGAAAAAAAAAAAAATTCAAAGTAGAGCTGATAGTATTTGGAGATAGACAGGAGAAATAACAAGCTATGGAGAGGTTATCAATTTCAAAACTTGTGCCAACATTAGTGATCAGGAAATATAAGATAACAACTTGGTTGAATGGAAAATTCTAGAAATGTCAAGCATGGTTTCCAAAGAATGACCCTTTACTGTGCTTACCCAAAACAAATCCTGTGTCAGTCCTCAAATAAATTAGTTTGGAAGCCAGGGAGGACCCCAATTAGGTGGACTTCCATTCTTCTAGTTCCTGTCAATTTCATGCAGTCTCTTTGTCTCTGTCTTCAAGTCTCTGCATGTTCCTATGGACATGTGCAGTACACATTGTTCATGCAAAGCACCAACAATTGGAAGCTATATGAGAATGCTCTGTAGACCAATAGCATCACTGAGTATCTGGCTAACCTCATGCTGAGCCTCAAGGCAGGAGATAGATTACTTCTTGTCCTTGTAGCAATAGTGGCTGTTTATCAGAGTTCTTTCGTTAAGAAAAAGGGGGTTTTGACTTCCCACTGCCCCATCAGGGTGAGTCTCCACCCACTCAAGAATACCTTTTAGGGAACACTGTCTGAAGTATCTCTGTGTCTGTTTGTGCAGGTGCCAGAGTGAAGCCATTGATGAAGAAGAAGTGACTACACACTGCTTTCCAAGAGCCATGGAAGAAGAAACATAAAAACTGGTCATCTATCTATTATTCTCATTAATAATACTTCTTTTGATACCAGTGGTGGAATAGCACGGGGAGATACAAAGGACAGAGAATGACACCTAAGTTTAATAAAGGGTATGAAGGGAGCTTTGCTTGAGATCTCTTGGTTTTCTGACAGGCCGATAGACAATTCCTTGTGTCTCAGAATCTATTGCTTTTGTCTGGCCTTCATGGAGGATTGTTTCTGGCTAAAAAGACTAAAAAAGCCTGTGTAAACTTGCTGGTGGGCTGTTTAGAAGAAGGGTGTGGAGAGAGGAACTTAGAGTCATCCAATAGCTTTACCTTCAAAGGGGATAATGAGGATCCAGATGACAAGTTGTTACATCCATCAAAATTGTCACACTGGAGTAGCAGGGCACATGGGTGGAGCTGAATTCAAGACTTCCTAGACTGCTGGGTTAAGACCCTGTGGTGGTTTGAAAGAAAACGCCCCGCAAAGGAAGTGCACTACTAGAAGGTGTGATCTTGTTAGAGGAAGTGTGTCACTGTGGAGGCAGGCTTTGAGGTGTCATATATGCTCAAGGCATGCCCAGTGAGATAGACTACTTCCTCTCAACTCCAGCACCATGTCTGCCTCCATGCCACCATGTCACACAATGATGATAATAGGCTAAACCTCTGAAATGTAAGCCACCCCAATTAAATGTTTTTCCCTTAGAAGAGTTGCTGTGGTCATGGTATCTGTTCACAGCAATATAAACCCTAAAACATACCTTGTCTTTAAAAGACCAAAAAGATTAAAAGGAAGGAAGGAAGGAAGGAAGAAGGAAGGAAGGAAGGAAGGAAGGAAGGAAGGAAGGAAGGAAGGAAGGAAGGAAAAGAAAGAAAAAGAAATTATGGTTATAATGAAGTCAATGGCTTCTTCTCCTAGATCTCCCAATACCCAGGCTGGGCTGTTTTTCAATAATCCCAATTTCTCTAAATACTAAGTATTTTAAAAGCTAATTGTTTTTCAGTGATTTCTGGTCTGTTTTCCCTTGACTTAGAAGTGTAAGGACATAAAAGCTGAAGGTGTCTGTCTGCCTAGTGTGATGGTAAATTCACTGGAGCAATGAGAATAATTTGTAACAAATGGCGAGAAGCCCGCCCCTCTTTAGAGCACACATTTGGGGCAGGAATTAACACGGAATGTAAGGCTCTGTCAAATGGCTCTTCCATTTGAATACTGATTTGAATGGAGGCGTGGGTAAGTTGTCTCGAAATCTATGTGTGTAACATATGCAAAGAATCTAGCTGGGAAGAAGGGTAAATACGAAGGGCTGAGACTGTATCCATACAAACTATGGGCTGATCAGATGACTCACAAGGGCTTATGAACCCTCTAATTTTCCTCTAGGGTTTTAGGTCCATTTTTCTCATTGCTGTATACTCATTGTACATAGAACTGGGTCTTATAAAAAAAAAAATTCCTTTTAAGAGTATGCCGTGTCCAGGCTGTTAGTGCCTCATGCCTTTAATCCCAGCACTCAGAAGGCAGAGGCAGGTGGATCTCTGTGAGTTTGAGGCTAGCCTGGTCTACAGAATGAGTTCCTGGACAGCAAGACTACACAGAGAACCCCGGTCTCAAAAAGACAAACGGAAAGGAAAGAGTATGACATGCATTTTAAGAATCTCCCCATTCTCTCTCTTGCCCAACTCCTGCTCCTTCCCTTAGCTTCCCTTTTCAGGTCATGCCCTCCCCAACATACACATATGTAAATGCATAGTTCTACCTATCTATATAAAATTTAGGATCCACATATGAGAAAAAAATTGGCTTATTTCCTTAATTTGATGATCTCCAACGTACATCCATTTTCCAGCAAAGGACATAATTTCATTCTTCATGAGTAAATTAAACTGTATTTATATAAAGATGTCTCATGTTGCTTGTGTTTCTGTTTTACGGTTTGCACATCTGGGATTGAGGCCCTTGGTTGAATTTGGCTTTAATCACCCACACTCTTTAAGCGGACGTATTTGTTATGCTCAGGTGGGACTAAGTTCTGCTCGCATGGCAGTGCTGTTCTTTCTCACTAATCTTAGTAGTTAGGCCATCAGCCCTGTGCTTGGGGCGTCAAGTTCTATCCCTGGCTATGATGGTTGACTTTTTCAACTTTTTTTTTCTCAACACAAACCTATACATATCTGGGAAGACCTACAGGCATTTTCTTAATTAGGGATTGATGTGGGAGGGCACAGTCCATTGTGAATGGTGCCATCCATGGGTAGTTGTCCTGGGCTGTGTAAGAAAGCAGGTTGAGCAATCTATGGAGAAGAAACCCATAAACAGCATGCCTCCATGGCCTTTTCTTGAGTTCCTGCTTCCAGGTTCCTGCCCTGCCTTGAATTCTACCCTGATTTCCCTCAGTAATGGACTGTTACCTAGAAGTATAAGCAAAATAACCCTTTCCTCCCCAAGTTGCTTTTGGTCATGGTGTTTTATCACAGCAATAGAAACCCAACTAAGACACCAGTAGAAGAAGTAGCCGCAACTGACAGACAAGGTTATAGGAAAATCCAACAACAACCAATCAAGAAAATGTGTCGAGTCTGCCACTGAAATCCATCAGGAGGGCAGGGAGTGGGTGCAAAACCTGCCTCTGTGCTGTCTTTTGTGGGTATGTGGGTGCTACTATCCCTTTTGTGAGTAGGCTGAAGGTGTAGGCTTGTCTCTATGCAGACTGTTCCATACTATGGCCAAGAAAAGATTTCTGCCTCAAGCAGTCTTCTGCATAGGTATCCTGAAGGCCGGGTCACAGTAGATCTGTGATACTTGCTTTGGGTTTCCCAGGGTGAGGCATGCAGGAAGGGACCTTTGCCTCTAGCTGCCAAGTAACTCTTTTTAAAATGGCTTTTTGCCTCAGCTCCTGTTTGGTTACCAAGAGATGGTTTTGTCAGCAACTATTTTCCCCCATGTCTTTAAATTAGCTGTTGTAGATAGTGTGGTAGGAATTTCAGAATTTCAGAGGTTCTCTCTTTTTAATGCAGAGAGAGAGAGAGAGAGAGAGAGAGAGAGAGAGAGAGAGAGAGAGAGTCAGTTAAGTGCCAACAGAGGGAGGCCTGAAGAGGATGTGAACTTTCCTGGAGTTACAGGTGGTTATAAGTCACCTAACTTGGGTACTGCAGACTGAACCCGAGTCCTCTGCGAGGGAGTACATGTTCTTAACCACTGAGCCATCTCCTGGCTGTCCTCTCTGTTTCAAGCCATGGTCACCACGCTGTGTGTTGCCCTCACACTTGGAGGAGAGTCCTCCCGAACAGATGCTGGGTTCTCTCCCTCCATTCTGGTTTCTTTCATCATTGCTGAAATTCGTGCTTTTGAGTTTTTCCTGACAGCACCCGTCTCATTCCATGTTTGCTCTCTCCATTATCCCCCATTGAACTGCTGAAGTTTCCAGCTGTGAGTATTGTCTGCCACAGTCCTACTAGGGTCACTTCCTGAGAACACAGCGACCAGTGCCTGGTGATGGGAAAGAATGATTGAGTCCTCTAGGCTCATGTGGGTTGGGATGTGGACACCATGACAGATGGGCACCATGGTGGAGTAGACACCATGGTGGAATGGACACGACGGTGGAGTGAGTGGGCACCACAGTGGGGTGGTCACCGTGGTGGAGTGGGCACCACGGTGGAGTTACCCTGGCTTCCCAATCTAATGTTATAAAGGAGAGGCTGGGTAAAAGTGGACACCAAAAAAAGATCCTTAAGGAGTTATAAATGTATAGAAGAGTGAAATAGTCTGATATTTTGCACACACATCCCAAGGAAAGACTACCAGACTAGGGCAAGTACCAAGAGTCCTGTTTTGTTTTTTTGGTTTTGTTTTGTTTTGTTTTCTCCTAACAGCAGTGGGAATATGAGCCTCCAGATTTTTTTTCCATTGAACCAGGAGCCCCCCCCCCCCACACACACACACCTGCTGCTGCTCCTAACTGCCTGGAGCACCTGGTCTCAGTAGAGGCCCAGAAGCAGTTGTCAGCGTGGAAACTCCCCGAATGTGAAGCTCACAGGGGATCACCCCAATTTTCCACACCCTGAAGATGACCTGTGCTGCATTCTTCTCATAGGCATAGTACACTCCGGTCCCAGATGAGCCCCATTTCTATTTGTGGCTTTACTATCCTGACACCAAATTAAACCTTGATGTCAGCGTGGCTGGCCACTGTGCAATTCTGTTCTGTCCCACTGGGCACATGCGTAATAAGCAGACAGGTGCTTCTTGGGGCGGGGGTAGAAAAAAAAGAAGCAACAAGACACTTATAATGAATGCTGATTACACATTCATGAAAACTGTAGTTAAATTAGAAGCAACAAGACACTTATAATGAATGCTGATTACACATTCATGAAAACATACAGCATTTGCTGCCTGCATGAGCTGTGTTAGGGGCCTTCGTGGTAAGAATATGATAATAAAAGGAGCCAAATGATGATGCCAGCAGTCATATTGGAATAGTGTAATTCCTAATCACTCCCATTTTAGCCTCACAATAGTAGGTGTGTGGAAACTGAATTGGGTTCCCGTTTTACAGTGACTTAGACCGACCTTCTGATAGTGGTGTGCTGGTGAATGTTTAATGACTAACAAATTAAGTTCCTGATTCATGCTGTTGGCTCCTTTCCATGGTGTAAACCCCTTCCCCGATCGTTTATAAGCTATCAAGATGCTACTAGAATTGGCAAGAGATATGCCCAACCCTTTGGTCCCAGAGAGCCTGTTTGTAGCAGACTGCTGGATCAAGGGGGGGTTGGGTAGGACAGGCGGGGTGGATGACAGGTCCAAGTTCACACAGATAATTGATTCCCCAGCCCATTTCCTTCCCTTTTTATCGCAGAGCAAAATGGCAACGCTGTTAACAAAACTGATCCCATCTTGCAATGCTATACAGGATAAAGTGGTCAAGCGCCCCTGAGTGGTTGCAGGCCCTTACCCAGGCTGGGGAAGCAGCAATGCCTCTCATCCCCATACCCCAGGTCACTC